GACTCCTTGTGTGAACATTTGTATTCAATTCTGACAAGAATCATGGTTGGAAACTTGTTCAACGTTCCAGTCGTTGACATTTTAGCGTTTAGCCGTTGATTTTCAAGTACAGAACTATGTAGTTCAATCTACAATTTGGACACAAAAGCATTCTAGCCTTTGACTTTAAAGTACGGAACTATGTAGTTCAATCTACAATTTGGACACAAAAGCATTCTAGCCGTTGACTTTCAAGTATAGAACTATGTAGTTCAATCTACAATTTGGACACAAAAGCATTCTAGCCGTTGAATTTCAAGTACAGAACTATGTATCTCAATCTACAATTTGAATACAAAAGCATTCTAATACGTATTTTATTAAGTTATGTGTCTATTTTCAAATTTAAGCAAATTTTTGAAAAAAGGGAGGAATTACGACAAAAAAGAAAAAAAAAATTAGCTTTCACAGCAACGCTAAAAAATAACGTGAAAATGTACGAACATTTTTGCTTCGTTACTGGCACTTTCTCAGCATCAATTTGATGATCAATTTGTATTTTTCAACATTAATTATCAATCGCATTGGAGCGTGTTTCTCATCTATCAATGTCTATCTTTGCTCGTGTAACCACATGGGCGATGATCCCAAAAAATAGTGGGTATATCAGATTTCAATAGGCCCAATTGTGTACAAAAACTGCTTGTTTACATTTGATCTTTTCGTATCGATCAAAACAATAAGGATCATTACTCCCCAACCACAGAACAAAAAGAGTAATCAATTATAGAAGCTTTGACGTGCTTATTGGTCTCTATTCTCATGACAATGATTAATATCTTTTCTGCTATTTTTACCAAGTACTGATGAAGTTTTTTTTGCATAGTAAATTAATTCGTGGGAAATTTCATTGCAAGGTCAAAGTCCTTACTAAGAATTGAAGAAAATTAAACTCAAAAACAAAAGCTTTCAAATTATACGAATCGAATCAATTCGTAATGGTCATTAAAACTTCTTGGAAGAAATTGGAGAATTAGGAAAAAAAAGTTGAGGCAGGTTACCGTTTTCTCAGAGAAGGTAACGTTTGTTCCTGCAGTAAAAAATATAATAAGGAAAACAAAAATGATTTATAGCTTTTTTATTTAAAGTGTGAAATCACAGATCATTCCATTAATTTGACGAAATTCTCATTGTTTGATGGTTTTTTTTTCACTTTTATTTCAATGAAGTATTATAACTTGAAGTAATTAAGGGTGGAAAAAAAACATTTAAATGCATTTTAACTTTTGTATTAGATTTTAAATTTGTTAATAAATAATTATCGTTTGAGCCAGGAAGAGATCACCTGTTTTTGTTTATGCGCCCATTTGATGCGACTGTTCACTCCTCCTCCTCCTTAAAAAAAAAAAAAAAAAAAAACAGNAAAAAAAAAAAAAAAAAGAAAGTACAAATGATTTTATAATGTTATACAAGTATTCGAACTTATTGTATAATAGATTTGAACTTAGAGCTCTATTTCTGATCTATTTTTATTGTGCTTTCGTTTTTCTTTTATTTCCACATATTTTGTCCTTACTGTTATTGTCTTTTAAAATTGTAATTAAGAACATTTTACTTAATTTTGTTTTATGTATAAAATCTTTTATTGCATCTTTGTAGAGTTAAGTTTAATTCTAAAAAGAAATAACTAGAATGAAGAAAGAGGGAGAGAGTGCTGTGACTTTCTCATGCAAGCTTGCGAGGATGGTTTACGATTTGCTTATTTTTAGAAGGGGGTGCAAATTTGCTAAAAACATGATAACTTATATATTTTCTTAAAACGATAATATTTTAACGGTTTCCTAATAGGAAAATAAAAAATATAATAAAAAAATTCTTGGATTTTATAGAGGTAAACATTTTTTGCAAACATTTAGGATTTTAGCAAAATCAGTGAATGATTAAAGTTTCATTTAGCATATTTTAAATTGTAGTTCAATCTATGCTTAGTACAGTTAATCCAAAATCTCACGGAAGAAGTAATTTTTAAAGTTTACATAATTTTTAATTAAACATAGTTAATATTTTATTGGTTCATAAAGTAATCATTTGGTATAGGGTTATGTTTGGAAGAGCATATCGGGAAATGATTTCCGTGGTTTTTCTGGAATGAGTGTTTTTCCGAAGTTTTCAATGTCCGTTTTGTGCAAATGTGACCCAAATTTCGTTGATTTGATGCTTAATTTATTCGTACAAGGCTTATTTACATGAAACTTAGACTTCAGTTTTTAAAAGAAAGAGAAGACCCTTAAGATGCTAAATCGCATGATCTGTGCTGACATTTCCTTCCCACTAAAACTGGAAATCGCACGAACAGGGAATAACTCAACAATGATCAAATATTGCTCAATATTGTAAACGTGTAGTTTTTTTCGGGAAGAGCTCACTTTTTTTATAATATTAAACTGTCAACAGTCTAGATGTCATTCCTTCGGCTGACAAAATTTTATTGCACAAATGACATTAATCTACAATCTCGGTTGTCTACATGTAAAAAATTTTGGTGCATATTTGCCATCATTTTTGTTGAGGTAAATTAAATAATTTTATGCGTACAAAACTCATGTTTAAATTTTGATAATAATTGTAATTCTGATTACGCTTGACTTTGATAATAATTGTAACCTTGATTATTTGATTACAAAATCATCATATTGATTACTTTTGATTTCGATTATAGTTACAATCTAGACTACTTTTGATTTCTTTATAATGGTANACTGGAAATCGCACGAACAGGGAATAACTCAACAATGATCAAATATTGCTCAATATTGTAAACGTGTAGTTTTTTTCGGGAAGAGCTCACTTTTTTTATAATATTAAACTGTCAACAGTCTAGATGTCATTCCTTCGGCTGACAAAATTTTATTGCACAAATGACATTAATCTACAATCTCGGTTGTCTACATGTAAAAAATTTTGGTGCATATTTGCCATCATTTTTGTTGAGGTAAATTAAATAACTTTACACGTACAAAACATATGTTTAATTTTGATAAGAATTATAATTTTGATCACGCTTGACTTTGATAATAATTGTAACCTTGATTACGTTTGATTTTATTTGATTATAATTGCAATCTAGACTACTTTTGATTTCTTTCAAATTGTATTCTTGATTTCACTTGATTTTGACTGCAATTGTTTTCTTAATTAAATAAATTTTGCTTATAATAGTGATCTTGACTAGTTTATTTTTAATAAATTTTTTTATCTTGATTATGTTCAATTTCGATAGTAATTATTATTCTTGTTTGTATTTAATTTTGATAATAATCGCTGCCATGATTGCATGTAACCGTTTACATTTACATCATTCTGTATATATATAGTGTATATTCTGCATATAGATAATATAGAATTCATTAAAAAGAAAAAAAATAATTCAAAGATTTTTTTCAAAAATATAACGCATTAAAAAATAATCATGTGTTTTCCTTCTGATAAATATTGTGAAAATATATAGTTATAATTCTTATTTGTCAGTCAAACGTAATGCAATAAAGAATAAAGTATTACTATCAAAGCATTTTTTTTTACCAGTTCTTTTTGGGAACAGCATTTCAGAGCTATTTACAACACACCTCTTTTATACTCTGACAAAAAACAGGAATGTTTAGATGGTGTGGATTACAAAAAGAACGAATCGTTCCAAAAAAAAAGGGGGAAAAAAAAAGACTGCTTAAAAGTTTTAAGCTTTAAATAATGACACAGACGATGCGATTTGTGAGCAGACGATGAATAAAAAGGGAAAATAAACCCAATGAGCACCTGCCTTTTTAGAAAACTTTTGGTATCCGGCCTTGTTCACAATTGGAATTACCAACCTGGAACCAAAAGTTTTCATAGAATGGCGAATAAACCAAGAGACGATATTTTTTTTAAAAAAAAGAAAAGAAAGAAAACTGTGGTGATATCAATTTTCTTTTACCCTTCTGTTTGATAGTTTCACACTCGCTTACTTGTGGAACGGCGAAGGTGGGTGGCTTATAGCAGATAGGCAATTTCGTTTCTTCTTAAAGCCTGAATTAGGCACGGATGAAGGGATTTTGATTTTTACCAGGACCTTCAGAAATTTTTTTTCTTTTTTTTTATGGATAAAAGAATAATTCTTTCTGAAATTAACTTTTGATGACTTTTTACCTTATTAATAGTAATAATGAACAAGATAAAATTCAGAAAATAACAAAGTATATAGTTTTTTTTTTTTTTTAAATTAAAAACAAGCGTCATTATTCGAGTTAAGCTTTGGGTGTTGTGAAATAATGACGTGACAAAGGGGGGGGGGATTGGAAAAATTCTACAAACTGTGAATTTTTACCTTATTAATAGTAATAATGAACAAGAAAATATTCAGGAAATAATAAAAGTATAGAGTTTTTTTTAAAAAAAAATTAAAACAAACGTCATTATTCGAGTTAAGCTTTGGGTGTTGTGAAATAATGACGTGACAGACGGGGAAAAAATTGGAAAAATTCAACAAACTGTGAAAAATGTAAGAATTTGTTGATTAAGTTGCAGTTTCGCGTACAAATTGCTATTTAGAAATTAATTTTAAAAATTAATTAATTTAGAAATTAGTTTTAACAATTAATTTCTAAAGAGGATATCTCGATTTATTTCATAAATTAAAGTACTTTATGATGGTTACATCAATGTTGTGGGTTTTGATTTTGTTAGACTATTTCACTAGTTTTCGTTGCTTAGTTAGACTGTTAATAATAATCCGTAAAAAAAATCGATGCATAAATATTCTATAGACTAATAATCTATGGAATAATTTGTTCCAAAACTTTAGCGGAAACAGTTACATATTTCTATTTCTTTTATTTCATAATGCTTGAATTTTTTTTAGAATGCCCTTTCGCGTTGGGTCGACATTAAACTGTAATTCCTTCAGATTTAATCACTGTATCTTTTGCTCCGAATGTTGCATTTTACAAAATAATTTAACATTGGAATATTTTTCTTTATTTCAGGAGTTTGCACAAACAGCACGGCACCTAGCGTTAGTTCCATTAATCGAATCCTAAGGAATCGTGCGGCGGAAAGAGCTGCCGCGGAATTCGCTCGGGCAGCCGGGTATGGAATGTACCATCCCTACGCTGCTGCCGCCGCTTTTCCCTGGAGCGCCGCGGCAGCCGCAGCAGCAGCTACTACTCCCCATATCTGGCCTACTTTTCATGCCGGATCAGCCGGACCACTGGCGACTGGATCGCCAGTGGATCCATCATCTTTATCCAGTTTAAATAGTCTAAGAGACCAACGCTCTATGGGTACGTATAACTGAAGATGTATTTTTGAAGATCTATAGAGTAACAAATAAAAGAAGAAAAATTAACCCTCTGATTTAGAATTTTGTTTTAAACATACTTTTCGTACTTTTTTCATTTTGTATTAATTTAGGACAAAATAAGTGAAAAAATATTATATTTAACATTTTAATAGTTTATGGTTATGAAATGCTGCGTGAAACATCGGCGTCTTTTTCTGCATTAAAAGTGAAATCTTCCAAACAATAATTTTTAAAATTTACACCAATTTGCAGTTATTTAAATCTAAGAGATTCAGCTATTCATCATTGGAATTTCTTTAATTTGCAATACTTTAATTTTTTGAATTAGTTTTTTTTTAATTAATTTCTTTGGATTTCATATTTTAGTAATAAATTCGATTATCTAGCTAATTTTTAGTAACTGTTTTTAATTTTAAGTTTTTTTTTTTAAGATTTTCTGGTTCTTCTGAGTTGGGGAAAAAGTGAGGACTTTTTATGAAATATCCATTTTTTTTTTGGTACTAACAATTGAACATTTGATATTAAAAATTTAACATTGGGGTCTAATAATTGAAAATATTCAGCTTCTCCTTGATTTGTTCCGAGATGAAATCCTTTTTCGCCTTCATTGATTGAACTTTAAACTGTGAAATGAGCATTTGTAAGACAATTGTTATTTTTACGTTTACATAGAGATCTTTCAAAATGCTATTTATTCGATGCATTTATAGAATTTTAGTTTAAAATAAATTTATGGGAAATCACAAATCATATTGAATTTCAAATTGGATAATTTCAGAACTGACTTGTCTGTCAGGAATAGACTTATGAATGGTCCAACCATTTGGTCCTACAGTTCACATTTTTTTCTTCAGGCTGTTGATTCAATTCAACGGTCAATTGGCAAGAGAGGACTAAATTTTAAATTTTTTACCTTGTTATTTTTAGTGTTATATTGCAGTGTGATTAAAAATTATATTACATCGTGTATTATAATTTTTTTCTCTTTTATTCAAGAATTAGAAAGGAAAAAAAGTTATTTCCTCTAAAAAATAAAAAAGTTATTCTAAGATTACTTAGCTGATAAATAACACGAAGATTTCGATGAGTAGTTCGCTTTAGTTATTTATCTAATTTATTTTTGGTGTATCGTTTTATTATATAAAAGATTTGCATAATTAACTTTATAGTTAAACTTTAATAGTTACAAAAAAATAAAAATAAGAATTGAAAGTGGTTAACCGCTTCCTAAAAAATGTCTTTACAATGTTTACATAATTTTATAGCGTCTTTAGGGATAAAAAAAGGAACTTTTATTAAACTTATTTAATAAAAATTTCTTCATGTTTAGGTTTAAACAACATTCAATAAAACTCAAACTGAATGTCCTTACGGAAAACTTATTCGAACATTGAGAAAGATTATTGGCAGAATCGACGCATTCTATTTACAAATCTGGAAAACCGCTTGTATTATTCAAATCTGAGTGTCACCTTTTATCAAAATATTTCTGATAAAATGTGATCTAGCTTTTCTAATTGTTAAAAAATTTAAGCAGTTAAATAAATATAAGAATATAAATTAAAAAGCATCAACCTCAAACTATTTAGATAACTTTAAGCAATATTTAGATAACTTTAAACATTTTTTCTAAAATTCATTTAAAAAAAATTTCGTTGCAATGCCAGATGTATTGAGACGAATAACAGGAATATTGAGAAAAATAAAACACTTTTATATGAAATTTTAATGTTCCTTCAAATAAACAAAATGCATTTTTATTAAATTTATTTTTTCGAAAATTTTTTAAATTGCCTTTTATAAATAAGCTTTAAAATCGGCTAAGTGTTCTACTAAAATTACCTTTAAATGAAAAAATGATTCGCCAATAATTGGCATTTTCTCTTTATAATTTTGAAAAAAAATACGAATTTCTTGAAAACTGGGTGTTATCCTTCTTCAAATTCTCCTTAATAATCTACTTTTATTAATCTCATAGTTTCAAAGCTTTTGCAGTTATATAAATATGAAAACAACAATTAAAAACCATCAACTTGAAAATATCAAATTATCCTTACAATGTGTACATAATTTTAGTGTTCTCATAGATAAACAAAATGCATTTTTATTAAATTCTTTTTTTTTAAATGATATATTCGCCTTTTATAAATAAGCTTTAAAATAAACCTAAGTGCTCTGAGAAAATTCCCTTCAAGTGAGAAAAACGATTCGTCGAAAATCGGCACTCTCTCTTTCTAAATCTGGAAAACCGCACGAAGTTCTTGAAATCTGGATGTCACCTTTCATCAAAATTCCCTTAATAATCAACTTTTATTGTTCTCATTGTTCCAAAACTTCAGTAGTTAAAATAAATATCAAAATAAAAAAAAGAAACACAAAAATCGTCTTTAGGAAAAAGATTCACACAAAACCTCTCTGGCGCCGATCGTACGAAAAACGTCTCTCACCCAGTAAGAACAAAATCACGAAGTTGGCTGCCATAATGGCAAAAAATAATATTGTTAATCCCGAGAAATTAAAATATTCCGCCAAGAATAAAGTTATTAAAGATAATAACAGAAAACACGATGGAACGTCTGGGCAAGCGGAGATCTCATCCAATTTTTCGCAAACGATAAACAATTAATTTCTCATAAAACTAAATTGAAGTCAATTCTAAAGGGCTCTGATTGCTTCCATGTTTACTGCTTTCGGCTTCTTTTGTTTCAATTCTTATACTTCGCTTTTTTCCATCTTAATTAAGCTTCCACGGCCCCCGGGGGGTGGGACATTAGCATGAAGATTACTCAAGAACTTGCTGGGACGCACTGCACGATTTTTGCCGCCTCCCTGCTTATATCTAATAGCTCGGTGTGCTTTAGTGTTGACTACGTTGATATTTAACTCTAGATTAAAGCTCCAATGCGATTTTAAGGGTATACTTATTCACTCTATGTGGGTAAAAAATGTGTTACCCCAAAAGCCGAAAGAACATTTTTTTTTTACCTCATCTTTTTTTATGTCTTCTAACTATCGCCAACTCCTGATGACTTTATCTCAGGATGGGACCGCGTTCTTTATTGTTCGGGGTTCCATTTTTTTTTCCTTCTTGAATTTTGCAATTAAAGCAATTATCTGATTAGGAATGTGAAGTTCCGTGAAAATTTCAATGAATTTTTTTTCTTTAAAGTACAATTGCCCATTTTCTATGGTAATGCTTCTAGTAAGATGACTTAAATTGAATCGCCAGGGTCGTTTGACATTTTATCTCTGGCAGAACTGCGGTTACTAATGAACATTTGCTTTGTAGAACTGTTGCCGACCGATGGAAGTTAACTTTGTGAACTGCTACAGCGCAATGGAATTCGATAAAATAGTAAAAAAGTAATGTAAAATTAGGTTACGTAAGGGTAGTGTTCATAAATTCTTGATTCTTGCAAGGTATTCGTTTTTCGTGACTTTCTCTTAAAGATTATTCTTTGGCGAATCTCGTCTAACGTCTTCCACAAAGTCAGTTAGCTTAAAATGGAAATGGTTTTTATTTGCAAATGCTTCATTTTTCGTGAACTTGTTATTATTTTGCTTTTCATTAGCAGAGTTTTGTTTTTCGGAGATTAGTCTAGAACAGTTAATGGAGTATTGTTTATTAAGATTTCGAGGTTTATTGTTCAGAGTTGTTTGACTTTTTAGGAATTCTCTATTTATTATTTTTTTAAATAGCGGCAGCTTTAAAGTTTATGGTGCCACATTGTTGAAAGACAGAAGAATGTCACTTCAGTTGCCATTGAATTCGAGACAAGAATAGGATTAAGTTGGGGTTAATTATTATTAATTATTAGTCGTGGTTTCATAAATTCAATACGTAACGTAGTTGTTCGAGTAATTAATTGATCTTGTTATTATTTATTTTCATTAGCATATTCGGCATTTCGTTTTAGAGATTAAACTTAAAAAACTAATTGAATATTGTTAAGATGTGAGATTTATTGAACAGGGTTATTCGAATTTTGTGCGATTTTCAGCTAAACAATTTATTCGATAAACAGAAATAGATCTAAAGCTATTGGTGCCACATTGTTGAAAGACAGTAGAATGTTATTACAATTTTCGTTGAACTAGTATCATTGTTGAATTAAGACAAGAAGAGAATTTTAGTTGTGTGTGTATAATTTAATATTGTATCCCGCAATAAAGTCATTTATAAATGTATACATGTATTTTTATGAAGCAAATTGCAATACACATGAACTTATTTATTTTACTTCTCTTCAGACGGTTTTGTGCTTTGTTTTAGAGATTGATCTAAAGCAATTAGTAGGGTATTATTTGTTAAAATTTAATTGCTTAGACTCGAGCAGGAATTTCTCATTCAACAACATTTTATTTATTAAATAGTATATTATCTTGAAGCTCTTCGCGCCACATTGTTGCATGTTAGCTGAATGCCACTACAATTTCCTTTCTGAATCAGACCATTGTTGAATGACAAAAATAAAGCTAGGCATTTTAGTTAGTGCAACATAGAAATTTGTATTTCTAATAATAGTCAATTATTTTTAAGAAATTCTAGCTAAGCTAGAATTTCTTAAAAATAATTTTCACTATTTATTTTCTTTTTTTAAAGTACTTTCATGATGTTTCATTCTGCGATAAAAGTTAATATGAAAGATTCTTAAGGTGCTTTATTATTAAAATACACAAAGATATATGCTAGATCAAAGCATTGATAAAAATTATAAAAAATAAAAGACAGGAGCAATGAGTTTCAATTCTTAAGAAAATATTGTTTAAATGTTTCAAATATCATCTTATTTATTTCCTTTGTACCCATATCATCAGTATATTATACATTTTGCTCCATTAGCGATTCTTATGAAAATACTGATTGTCAATAAATTATGAGATGAAATTTCAAAATATTTTTCAAATATACAAATATTTCCAAAAATCTATGACTGAATTGACGCTCTCGTAGGAAAATAAATTTGTGACACTTTCTGGAGTTGATTTGTAATGACATTTTTTGACAAAAATTGAATTGCAAACAAAAAATATTCAAAAAGTATTGCAATAATTCAATGTCATATTGATGGAACAGCAACAGATTTGTTAATAAAGAAAGAAGGAGGAAAAAAAGAGAAAAGATTTTTAAGTCGTGGGAACTTCAGTGACTGAAGCAACTTCTCTTACACATCTGTCAACTCTAAAAAAACCACAATCTAGATGCCACACTCGCAGTAATTGCCCAACTGCTGCATAAAGAACCGTAAGAAAAGCAGTTTCGTTTGTAAGAAAAAACACGAAAAGAAAAAAAATACTCAGTAATACGTCTGCCGGATAAAAAAAAAATCAAAGCCAAATTGCTGAATTCAGAAACGCATATAAAAACGAAACTTTGTTTGAATTTGACATTTTATAGAACCTAATGTCGGTTTCTTTCGAAATATCAAACATGTTTTCGATACAAACAACTAAACTTTAACTAACCCAAAAAAGAATTAACGATAAAAAAAATAATCTTTTTCTCGTTTCATGTGTTTACATTCGAACCAAATCATCAGTTGCTCGTAGCAACCACGTATAATAGATGAGAAAGTTTGGAATTGCCCATGAATACTTCATCAGCTATCAATGCGAAACTTGGTGTAGCCTTTCGTCGAAGAGAGACGGGTATTTTGAAATAAATTACGCCAAATGCATTAAAAATGCATTTTTGCCATCGACTTTGGCACACACAAAAAAAAAGCACCGTTTTCATTTGTTGCTCTGCTTTTCGTTAGAATTGCAACTACTGCATGTCTCGTTTTCGTAATAGAGTAAAATATTATGGAAAAAAAATCGATTAATGTGAGAAGTGAGTTAAATTATTGAGATATTTCTCAATGTATTGTATAAATGTTAGACTTCTACGAAAACTGATTGAAAATTCTCATATGCTAGACAAGGTAATTACCCCAAAAATTTGAAAAAAATTATTTATCATTGAGAGTAAATGAAAAAGCGAACACCTTGAACAACTTTTGATCTAATGATCGGACTTATGTACAAAGATTTAATCTTAGTGGTTCATTGGTCTAAACTTAAACATACTAATTGATTTGTGCGGATACTGTTTTCCGTTACGGAAAAAAATATAGCAAATATATCTTTTTCAAGAGATTTGGTTAAAAACTCAAACGCCAAAATGTGGGCGAAGCTTCAATCTGGCAAATTCAATGATCCAAATAGTCTAGTGGTCTAAGGTTCGCCCCCATCAATGTAATATCATTTTTTTTTTGTGCGTGTATTTCTCAATATCTTTGGAACTCAGGAAAATAAATAAATAAATAATATAAAAAGGAGCTCATTTTACATCGAGGAGCATAAGTGGGTAGATATGCAATAGAAAACTTTAAATTTCTCGAATTTTTCCTTACTTATCTAATTTTTCTTAACTTTTATTAATATTTTAATTCCCATTTGATTACTTAAAATCTTAAAAAATACAAATGCTTCTAATATTGCTGAAAATATATACATAAAATACCCAAGGTAAAAATTTCCGGATCAAATTATGGTCAAAATTACGGTATTTAAGGTACTTTTCATCGTAAAATTTTATGGAATAAAAAATCTCATATGTAACTTTCATAGTTTTGGCAATTTAAATGATAATTAACCCATAATTCTTGATTATAAATTCTTTTTTTCTCTTTTATTATTTTTCAATATTCTGCCATTTCTTAAAGGAATTTTTAACAACAAAATCCTACCTACAGTGAACACTACAACATTCGTACAATTTGTGCATACAATTTGTAGCATTCTTTTTTGTGTTCGATTTTTCTCACGCATACTTTATGAAAATAAATACTGAAAATAAATGAAAATAAATACTTCCTGTAACATATATTTTTTGTGTGCTATTGTCGAGCTTCTCTTGCATTTAGATATCTTTATACGTAGCTATGGTTTATACAAGTTACACAATTTTGCTTATAATAGTTATTGCTTATTGAGTTTGCTAACTAAATTCGCTTTCATCTTGTTACAATCTTAGTTACAATGTTGCACATAGCTACATTAATACAGTACAGAACCCGTAATCCGGAAATCAGAAAACCGGAAAACCAAAAAACCGGAACGAAATTCAATAAATTTTCCCGCCATTTTTAAAAAAAAAAAAATTTTCTCCTCATGAGATTTTAGGATTTTCCTTTCTTTTTTGAAAGATGTTTACCTTACCATCATTTTGGAAATAATCATTAGTGTATTTCATTGTTTTCTCTTATTTTTAAGATTATAGCCAAATTTTTTTTTTTTTTTCAGTTTGGTTTAACAAATAAAAAAACGGCTTTTTGTAGCGATGCAGAAAACCGGAAAAATCAGTTATCCGGAATAGCGATGGTCCCGATCATTCCGGATAATCGGTTCCCTACNAACCAAATCATCAGTTGCTCGTAGCAACCACATATAATAGATGAGAAAGTTTGGAATTGCCCATGAATACTTCATCAGCTATCAATGCGAAACTTGGTGTAGCCTTTCGTTGAAGAGAGACGGGTATTTTGAAATAAATTACGCCAAATGCATTAAAAATGCATTTTTGCCATCGACTTTGGCACACACAAAAAAAAAGCACCGTTTTCATTTGTTGCTCTGCTTTTCGTTAGAATTGCAACTACTGCATGTCTCGTTTTCGTAATAGAGTAAAATATTATGGAAAAAAAATCGATTAATGTGAGAAGTGAGTTAAATTATTGAGATATTTCTCAATGTATTGTATAAATGTTAGACTTCTACGAAAACTGATTGAAAATTCTCATAAGATAGACAAGGTAATTACCCCAAAAATTTGAAAAAAATTATTTATCATTGAGAGTACAGAGCAAAAAATGAAAAAGCGAACACCTTGAACAACTTTTGATCTAATGATCGGACTTAAGTACAAAGATTTAATCTTAGTGGTTCATTGGTCAAAACTTAAACATACTAATTGATTTGTGCGGATACTGTTTTCCGTTACGGGAAAAAATGTAGCAAATATATCTTTTTCAAAAGATTTGGTTAAAAGCTCAAATTCCAAAATGTGGGCGAAGCTTCAATCTGGCAAATTCAATGATCCAAATAGTTTAGTGGTCTAAGGTTCGCCCCCATCAATGTAATATCAATTTTTTTGTGTGTATTTCTCAGTATCTAAAACCCAGCAAAATGAAAAATAAATAAATAAATAATATTAAAAAGGAGCTCATTATACATCGAGGGGCATAAGTAGGTAGATATGCAATAGAAAACTTTAAATTTCTCGCATTTTTCTTTAGTTATCTAATTTTTCTTTACTTTTATAAATCTTTTAATTCCCATTTGATTACTTAAAATCTTAAGAATACATATGCTTCTAATATTGCTGAAAATATATACATAAAATACACAAGGTAAAAATTTCAGGATCAAATTCTGGTCAAAAGTACCGGTATTTAAGGTACTTTTCATCGTAAAATTTTATGGAATGAAAATTTTCATATATAACTTTCATAGTTTTGGCAATTTAAATGATAATTAACAATTAATTCTTGATTATAAATTCTTTTTTTCTCTCTTATTATTTTTCAATATTATGGCATTTCTTAAAAAGAATTTTTAACAACAAAATCCTACCTACAGTGAACACTACAACATTTGTACAATTTGTACATACAATTTGTAGCATTCTTTTTTGTGATCGATTTTTCTCACGCATACTTTATGAAAATAAATACTGAAAATAAATACTTTTTGTAACATATATTTTTTGTGTGCTATTGTCGAATTTCTCTTGCATTTAGATATCTTTATACGTAGCTATGGTTTATAGAAGATGCACAATTTTGCTTACAATAGTTATTGTTTATTGAGTTTGCTAACTAAATTCGCTTTCATCTTGTTACAACCTTAGTTACAATGTTGCACATAGCTACATTAATACATAGTTTCAATGCAAATTTCCTATTTGGAGTCTTGAAAGTTCTTTTAAAGTACATTAAAAACCCAAGAGAACATATTCTCATGAAACACTAACTTTTTCTTATTCTTAAAATTACTTCATTAATTGAATTTTTTATTCAATTGGGTCTATAAACTGATCCTTTTTAAATTTTTATTCCCAATAGATAAGGATTTGGATGATGGAGCAAGTTCTGATTCCGGTGATCGGCCCAAGTTTCGTAGAAATCGCACTACTTTCAGCCCTGAACAATTAGAAGTTCTCGAAGAAGAGTTTGAAAAAACACATTATCCATGCGTCAGTACGAGGGAGAGGCTAGCAGCAAAAACTAATCTATCTGAAGCTAGAGTTCAAGTACGCATAATCCCTTTCTACAATTTAAAACCACATGATAATCTAATTCAAAATGTTTATTTTTAACTTAAATGCATGTTAGAGTTCAAGTAAGCGTGATTCCTTTCTACAATTTGAAATCACATAAAATTCCAATTCAAAATGCTTATTTTTAACTAAAATGCCTGTTAGAGTTGAAATATAATTATAAACATTCTTTACCATAAAAGACGAAATTAATTTCGAATGCAAAATATTTATTATTCAAATAAATATAAAATATTATTTATTTTTTAGCATCTTAAAAATCAAGTCAGTACAATAAAATAATCAACGAATTAGTTGATAAAATGAGCAGAACAAACTTTTAAATTAAACGATATGAAGATCTTTGATGTGCACATTACCTAGTTAAATTGAGTAAAACTCTTAATTATATGAATTTGATAAAATGTAGAATACCATATCACAACAGTCGAAATTGACCATTTAGATTAGATAAAATGCAAAATTTCATGACACAACAGTCGAAATTGACCATTCAGATTAGATAAAATGCAAAATTTCATAGCACAACAGTCGAAATTGACCATTTAGATGAGATAAAATATAAAATTTAACTGCACAAAAGCCGAACATTAAAAGCATAATAGCTGGAAACGACAATTTAAATTACATTAAATTTAGAGTTTTATAGCGCAAAGCTAAAAGTGTGGCTATTTGGATTAGATGGAGAATTCAATAGCATAACAGCCGGAATTGGCTATACTTCGCTAGCCAGCTAAAATGACATAACGAGCTCAAAGTAACGAAATCAAACGAACTTACAAACTAAGCTTGATTAAAAAATATTACAAGAGTTCCTGGGGGTCCTGTTGCCTCTAGAGTTGAGTTAATCCTACAATTTAATTAAATTGAGGGTTGAGTTAATAATTTAGAGTTAATCTTTGGGAGAAGTCACAACCTCTACTAGTCCTTTTGATTTTCCTTTATTTTTTTGTGCACTTACTAGAAAGTGCTTAGCAAGAATTTTAAATCAGTAATCAGGGCTCTCCAATAAATTTTACAAGCATTTTATTATTCTTGTAAAATTTATTCTATGGAATATTTGGAAACATGTTGGGGGTAATTTAGTTGAATCTGTTATATTTGCTTATCTTTAACACTTTTATTATTGGAGTACATTAAGTTGGTATTATATTATTTTATTGGAATACAATAAGTTAGAATTCAATGTAGAATATAGGATTTTTATATAGGATATAGGAATATTGTATAGGATTTTTTTTAAATAACTATTTAAATAATAATTACATTTTTATCCGTATTTTTTCGTTATCTTTATATTATATATTTTTTTTTCCAAAATTTTAAATTATCGACAATCAATGTTCAACTAAAACGCAATATCCCATTCAGAGTATTTTTATGAGCTGGTCCTTTTCGTAGTTTTTATCGTCACGCAAAGAGCTCTACGCGCAAAACAAAAATCACGCAACTTCTTTAGGTAAGATTCCCCATTTCAGTATTAGGTAAGTCAGAACACAATTTGTAGCCTACATCCTTTTCAGGCAGATGCATGTTCTCACGTGTGTTCATAAACAATCATTTTTGAATTTAGTTAGTTTTTTTTCCCGTGTGCTACCCTTCACGCACCGATTGGTGGCACTGACCAGTGCCACATAGTGGGCGATTTAAGCCATTATTAATGCACAGTAATGACTAAAATACTTTTCTTCCTCCCAACTAGTCTTTGTGTATGAGTAATTACCTTCTTAACGAGCTACTATTAGTGACGTCATGAATAATCGTGGGCGTGGCTGTCACATCCATCTACCAGTAGTATTCTAAAATGATATCACGTGGGTTCTGAGGTTTATCGTTAAGTGGTCGCGCAGAGTTGCCCATGGCAACGTTCAATGTAACCAAAGTAGAATTTACTTTTTTGTTCTTTTCTAATATCGTTTTCTAATTTTTTATATTTCCAATTTTTATTGTATTAAGGCCTCTTTTTTAATTTTTTTTTTATTCCTCTTCTTGGTGCCGGAGTAAAAATGAAAGGGAGTGCATTTGCTTTTTGTGGGCGTGGGGCCCATGCATGTGATGTGTCTGTCTTACGGGTGGGGCCTGCCGGGAAAACGCAGACGACCGTATAGCTGCTTGCCTGCTCGCGCACAACTCAACTCTGATGGTTTATTCAGGAGCGCCGTTGCCAGATATGGGCGGTGATTATTGGATTACATTTGCAAGAGAGCTTGCTGTTAGGGAAAAAAAACTGGAACACTCGGATACAAAAAAAAGAAAACACAGAATAGAGAATGAATAATAAAATAATAATACTGATGAAAAGAGGTAGCTAGATGTAGGAAAAAAGAAAAAGTCTGCCAACAATGGTTCTGCCTAATGCATATTATATACACAAAACGTAAGGTCTTTTTTTTCATATTCCGTGGAAAGCAATGCAAACACATTCTTCACAATTTGAGAATCCATTATCTGATGGGCAATGATATAGCAAGTTTTTCTTATTTCTTGCGTAGCACTCTGTCGGCCGCCATTTTTCATTCGATGTACCTTATTGTCCTCTTTCATGCATTTATTAGTTTTATGCATTTTATTCAGTTGGAGTGAAAAGAAGTTATAAACAAATATACAAACATTACCATGTCCTTTTTTGGGGGGTTATGTATAAAATGTCCTTTTATGATGAAAGAAAACGGTGAAAAATAAAAGAAAGAGCAAAGGGTGATCCTTTTTTTTTAAAAAAAAAAACATTAGGTGGAATTTCATTTATTATATTTCTATTAGCTAATAACTTGATAACAAAGAAGGATTATAAAGGGTTATTTTTTTTCCTTCATTCAATACACTTACTGACTCATTAGCATTAATTAATATTAAAATATAATTATTCAGACAATATATATTAAAAACACAATAATTTTATTGAAACCTTTCTTTTTTTTTATATTTTCTGGTTCGTACTATATAAAGACTAAGGTACTTTAACTAAGGTACTTCATTATAAGGTACTGCAACATTTCAGAAATGTATTGCTGTGAAACCTATAAACCATTGATGAGACAAAATGTGAAACGTTAAATTTACATAAATTTATGTAGTAACATACACAAATTTGCATAAAAGCATAAATTTAATATATTTGTTTTTAATAAATATTTTTGAAAAACTATCCTTAAATTAATGTAAATGTTGTTGCTTATGCTACCTGCCAATTCGCTCAAAAGATTTTGGTCAAATTTAGTATATTGCCATGTAAAATTACATACATCAAAATGGCGTAAAAAATTGCATACCTTGCAATTTTAAAGTATTATTCAGTAAAATAATGAATAAAATTTATTTGCTGAATGGAATTATCTTTGGATATACGAATTTTGTAATTATGTTCAAAATTTTTTTAATTCACTTAAGACGATCTCGAGATATGGCGAAAAACGCGATATGGCGCGGCTATCCCCTATATTTGAGGGACCGAAATCCGAATATGTTGAAAAAGAGAATGTTTTTCAGAGAAAGTACATTTTTTCGCCTAATTTCGTAATTTAACTATCGTCTGCACTAATTAATTACCATGTTTGAGGTCACCCCCATGAACGTCAGAATCCGATCATTAGATCAAAAGTTATACATGCTTAGAATCATATTTCATATCGTACATAATTTGTTTTAAAGTTATTTTCCCTACCACTACATGTAAATGGATCAAAAGTTTATATGAAATGCCACTTTGCTCCAGCTCTGTGTTTGTAAAGCTTTTAAAATGTTGGCAAAATTTTTGAAAACTTTAGGTTTTAAATAGTCCACCACTCTATGAAATATTTTGATAAATAGTGTAGTATTTGACATCTCTCATTATTTTTAGTAATAGTTAAATAACAATTAAGAGTAATTGAATGTTCTTAAAGTCTCGTTAACACTAAAAATTGAGATTCAGATATTTCATATACATGTAACCGTGAATGACCGAAATCAAGAGAATGTCGACTTTCACCGGTGAATGTCAACAATCACAAAGTTGCTTTGGTGAATGTCCGAAATATTTACTATTAATTTGCTCGTTGATATAATTACATTTATTCCATGTTTTAATATCTGCTGAGGATAGATTAGAAACATCAGTGTTCGGAGTACCGGTTAAATGGCAGTGCCACTGCCGGTTAAACCGGTTGACCCTAAAAAAACATTGATGTAGGGCATACCGGGAAGTGGCACTGAACCTTAAAAATATTGATGTAGGGCATGCCGGGCAAATTTATACCGGACAGTGCCACTTAACTAGACCTGGTATATACTTTGGACATTTACCAATGCGACTATGTGATTGTCAACATTCACAGGTGAAAGTCAACAACCACCAATTTTAGTCATTCACAGTAACATTGAATTATTTAAGTACTTTAATAGCAAAAATCATTTTAATTCTAATGTTGGGTTATAAATTATGCTAAAACTCTAAATACTTGAGAAAATCACCCTCCAACGGTCAGGGAAATCGGCAAGTGTGGTATAACTTTTTAAAACTTAAATAGTAATTAATATCAAAAATTTTGACTGAATCTTCTTCTTGAAGTCAGTTTATGTTGATTGTTTGAAACAGGTCTGGTTTTCTAACAGACGAGCAAAATGGCGACGCCACCAGCGAATGAATATGATGAAGCCCGTCAATGGAGTCATCCCTCCTACATCGCCCACCCCAAGCCTCAGTCCAGTGCCTTCACCAGAACCAGTAGGACCAACTAGTCAGCCGCCACAACCACCAAGGATCATGGATCATCTACCAAAGATGGGAGGGGAGAACTCTGCTTTCACTCCAGCTGCTCGACAAACATCCTCATCTCCATCTTCCGACTGAACATCTATCTTGAGCATCTTCTCAGTGGCCATGAATCATTCATGAATACCATAAAACTGTTTACAACTAGGCAATGTCCATCAGGTCCAGCACTGATAGCCTCGCATGAGCATATTACGTGCTGGGTAACTTGCCACATCATAAAACTGCATCTCATTATGTGTCTTCTCTTTCATTGTGTGAGAAAGTATTTTGCTTAGAGAGTCATCCTAATGGGTTTTAATGCCATCTGTTGTTAAGATTTGGCAACAATTTAGATCTGAGATACTTTTCACGACCTTCTCTCACGTTCGTCATGAAGGTTGTAGTTTTATACATTTGCATCGATTTTTTTTATGAATGGAATGTAGAGTGTTATTGAAAATAATACACATATCGGAGTAGACTGGACAATCTTTCTCTCACATTTTATGTGAACATCTGCAATATTCTCTTTTGTGAGAGGGGGTTAAGTGTGATTTCTAACTGCGTTGTACATAGACTTTTCAAAAAGGGTTAACAGTTACAGTTGACTCTGGTGGTTTGTGAAATTAGCTTGATGAATATTTAAAGCGAAATCTAGGTTGAACAATGAAGTTTGACCTACTCAAATTCTTAATTTAAATATTTGAACTGTTTGCTTAAATGTGATCTTAATATTATTTGAAATATTGAATTAAATTTATTTGCTCTAAGTAAACGGTTGAATCCATTGTCGTATAATAAACTTAATTTATACAACTACCCAAAATTACGGTATAATATTAAGAATATACCACTGAAGGAATTATCTAATATTTAGAACTAAATTTGTAACTTGAAATCATTTAAATTGTGCACAAATAATATGCTACATTTGAAAGGCTTAGGGTAAGACATTGATAAACTAAATTTTTTAAATAGCTCAAAAGAGCGTTTTCGGTAAAACGCCATGATTTCTACGTAGTCAATGAGTCTTTCTCTCCATTATGCTGCCATCTAGTGGAAATTTCATAAACGAGTAAGTAATCTATCTTGAAAAATATATATATATTACAAAACAATATGACGTAAAAAAAATTACACCTTTGAAAAAAATGTGGCTTTACACTTTATTACCCTAAGCCCTTCGTATCCAGATTTTGTTTTTATTTAAGTAATTTTATATTTCACATAGTTGCTTGGTAATTATTATAAAGCTATTGTATAAATTGTTTTATCAATTGTGTGAAATTGAAATAAAATTGAACCCAGTGAAATATATAATCCGGTGAAAGTGCTTTAAAACAAGTATTTGCAGTAGTATGTTTTTAGAATTGAAAAAAAAAAAACCCGGTTGATCTTACTTGGAATGAACGAATTTTGTTTCAGATTCGTACAAATAAAAAAAAAAGGGAAGGGGGGGGGAATGATAATCCAGTGACAAATAACATTCTAGTGAAACTACTTTCAAGCAAATTCTAGAAATGATATGGGTTTAAATTGGAAATAAAAAAGAGTCTGATCTGATTCAGAATTAAAAATTTTCATTTCCGAACACCACAACTAAAAATTGTGATAAACACAATTCATTGACAATGAATGAAAATATTTTACTGCAGATCCTTCCAAATAACATGTGTTAAGATCCGAACAGAAACCGGTTGATCTGATTAAAGAATTCACGATTTTTGTTGTAGATCATAAGTAATAATATATGAATTGAAAAAAAAAAACTGCTTTTACTGCGATTTCAAATACCGAATTAAAGAAGCAAATCACTCATTGTTGTGATAAATCATGTAAGGATATTTTTATAGTTTGTCTACAGTAAGAACTCCCCGAACCGTCTGGATCCGTAGCGTTGACTATGGTAACAAGGTATAACCATTTCAAATAGGGGTGTGGGGTTACTGTTTAGGACAGGTTTTATATCAGGTTGGCGAAAGAAAGGGAAGATTTTTCTTCAGTCTATTTTGTTAGCCCTAGAGTGAAGAGAAGCTACCCTCCCTGAAATGCGCTATTCTTGTTTCCATAGCAGCAGACAGTCGCAAACTTTGTGGAGGGGGGAGTTCTTAGCGTAGACAAACTATACTTGTCATACGCTCAAAAATCTGGACCTGATAGGGTAGTGTTGAAGTACTGGAAAAAAAACCTGATTAAAAATTTAAGTATATATAACTGACTAAATTCATAAATTTAAGTGTACAGAAGTCAAAGTTTACGCATTTATGCATAAAAATGTTTAACTATTTTTTGTTCCTGGAACTGCAAAATTACTAGGAAACTTATATTTTAGCGTTAAAATACAAAAAGAAGGAAGCATAAATTTCTTTTTTTTTTTAAATAATAAAACTATATTTCACACAACTTAAGCATATAGCTGTAGACATACTTAATTTGAGTAAAGCTTTTATAGCTTTAGATGTATATTGCTGCAACGAAAAGTATTTTAATAGAGCTTGCTTTTTTTTCAAAAAAGCTTAATATTTTAAATAAATCGAAAACAACTTTAAAAATAATTAGAATTATAAAAGTCATTTTCATAACCATTTTCCTTATTTATAAAATTCGTTTTCATTATCGCTTTCTTTATTTAAAATCATATCCACATAAAAAAAAATTTGTTCTTCTCATTACAGTAGCGCATTATTTTTTGAATACAAAAAAATTAATAGACTAATTATTAAAGGTACAAGAAAATTAATAGACTAATAATTAAAGGTACAAAAAAATTAATAAACTTTCAAATTATACAACTGTGCAGATTGCAGATTGTGAAAATTTTGTAAGTTTATTTAAATATATTTTATTTAGTGAATACATAACTCCAGCAAATTACAATTCATCTAGTGTACTAAGCATTATCCATTCAAATGCTGGATTATTAAATGCTAAATAAAATTCAAGGAAAATAACCGTATTTTTTAGTTCAAAAATAACATTAAAATATGGATTTAAGAATGGGTATTTTTTTAAATGCAATATTTTCAAACTTACAAGAAAATATTCTGTTTAAAAATTCATGCATGAATACGCAGGCAATTAGTATGTAATTCTAATAAAAAAAAAAATAAAAAAATCAAACATTGTGTAACACGGTTGAATAAATTCCAAAAACAACATGATGTTGTTTATATATCAGATTATATGATCTACTTTAATATCGGAATTCAATATTATTGCATATAAATTACTTTTTTTAAGAGGAAAATTAAGTATGTGATTAGAATTTTAGAAAATAAATCAAGTCACATAATTGATGTAAAACCAGTTTTTGAAAAACAACACAAAGCATGACATTTTGTTTTCGTTTGAATTCTCATAAAATGAATAGTTTCTTTTATAAACAAATACAGATGACTAACCTTTATACATTTACAATAAAATCTGATAGAGTGGTCTCTTTTTGTCTTGACATTACATTAAAAATTTGAAGTATATACAATAATGTCAAATTAATTATTTAAAATATATAGTATTTTAGATTTGAATCATAAATCAGGTTTCTCGGTCAATCAATGTTTTACTAGTACATCAAATCAATAGCACATGGCTCTACAAAACTAATTTTTATATAATTTGTGTTCCATATTGACCTGAAAATTTAAATAGAATAAGAAAAGTTAAATAAATAAATTATTATAGAGAGCTATAAACATTTAATCATAACTTAAATTTTTTAAAAGAAGCTTTATTTTAATCAATGAATCAATTAAATAGCTTTTATTTTTGAAAGAAAAAAACCCAGTCCTTTTAAAGAAAAAAACTTAGATCTTATTACATAATTGTTTTATAACATCTAATCAGAATTATTCTTTAAATGCTTCATCTAAATTAAAATAAATTATTTACTTAAAAAGTATTTTAAAAATATTATAAACTACAAATCTTCGGAAAGACAATTATGTATAAAAAATTTAAGGGAAAAAAAGGCAACTTTTAAAAAAAATATTCTGGATTTTTAAATAATCAAAGCAAAAATAAAATCTAGTTTAAGTGTTATGGTAGTATTCCATATTTACATTAACCTGTCAGTATTGATATTCTGTATTATTTTTGTAGACATGTTTTGTACATGAAAAATTGAAAAAAATCTAATAATTATTTTTCAAAATTATAATAAAATTTTTCATACTCTCTCTATGTAAAGTTAATTGCTATTTTAAGAAATGCCATGAAAAATTAAAAGTATTTATTTTACTGTATAAATCTTTTACATTTTTTAAATAAACTTATCTACAAAAACTGTATATTTAGAGCAATTTAAGCAACATCTACAGTATGCATGTAATACCATTATCATTTTCATATTTGTAATAAACCTTAATTTTGGTTTTGTTTTCAAATTGCATTTTATATGTAATCATTGCATCAATGTGAATAAAATATAACTTATCATTTTATATCAAATGTTTATTAGTCTTTATTTCACTAATTTAGATTGCAAAATAATTATCCCAGGCAGATAATTACACTTCAGTATTGGAGCATTTAAGATCTCGCAAAGAAACACTCAATATTTCGAGCCGAAAAGTATGTTTCTTAGAAAAATGAGGCATCGGAAGGGAGAAACAAATTATTTTATAAAAATCTTGTAAGAGAAAAATCTTGCACCAAAGGGGAAAAAAAATCAAAAAATTTTATCAAAATCTTCTAAGTTGTCTTAACATCGAAGAAATCCATACAATTTTACTTTTACAGGAGAGTTGGCTAAATCTTAAATCGCAAGCTGTTTATCGAAGCTCTGTTACCGAGGAAAGTAAAAAAGCCATAGTTTAAGTGTCTTACATTTGAAGCAATGCGATGATTTTATACTAAAAATATAATTTTGATGTGAAGAATTATTTGAATTTTAGAACAGACAAATACCTTAAATATTTCAAAAGTTTTTAAACTTCTTTAAAAATCGCCAATTTGGCGACATTTTTCCTCCTAGATGAAAACTATCAAAATCGATGCCGTATTCTGAGTTTTTGCAAATTTTTATGAGCCCAAATTATGCAGCATTAGAGTAAGCGTTATTCCTAGCCTTAAGCAATAGTTTGCTTCAAAAGAAACAAGTAGAACCTAACAGAATAAGTTAATTAATTTCAATCTCATCACCTAAAATGAATAGTAATCGAAATAGTAACTTACATTTCATGAAAACATTTACTAAATTTCACTTTATAACTCAGTTCTGAGAAATGACCGGCTTTAAAAAATGTCAATCTAATCACCTAAAATGAACAGTAATCGAAATAATAACTTACATTTCATGAAAACATTTATTAAATTTCATTTTATAACTGAGTTCTGAGAAATGATCGGCTTTAAAAATTTGTTCCTTTTCAACAATAAAAGTTTCCGTTTTGGAAAAACTATCCAAAATTATACAATACTTATCAATACTCAGACAGTGTTTCATTCTACCCCATATATAACATTTATACCATATAAACCATTATATACACCATTCGCATGCCTGCCAACTTTTACGCATTTGGCGTAAAATTTCATTTTTACGTTTAAAGCGTTAGTAAAATGTATGCTTTCTATTAATTCTTTACATTTATAAATTTAATCCAAAATGTTTTTTGACCATCACTACATTTAAATAAATTCTACATATATATAAATGTATAATAATCTCTCTTTGGTGGGTCAAAGTTTACGCAAAATGCAAAGAAAATTTATGAGTATAAATGTATAAATTTGGCGGGTATGCATTCGAGATCATATATAAAGAATGTTAATCAAACAAACAACTTATAGTTTGAAAAAAAAAACATGATTTTCAAGGTTACATTTTATAATCCAATGCTGAAGAGTGACAGCAAATTAAACAATGTTTCAATTAAATAATAAAAATTTCCATTTTAGAGCAAGTATACAAGATTTTGCATTATTTTATAAATACACTGGCAATATTTCATTAGGGACTTAGTATTCGAATCATTTTTAAAGAACATAAGTCAGACTAACAACTCATATTTTATAGAAAAAAAAATAATTTTCAAGTTTTTATTTTATAATCCAATGCTGAAGAGTGACAGCAATTAGAAAAAATGTTTCTCATAGACAATAAAAGTGTCCATTCTCGAACAACTTTCTAAAAATTTGCAATATTTTATTAATAAACTGACAATATTTCAATCGAAACTTAGTACCCGGATCACTTTTAAGAAACATTAGTCAAACTAACTCGTATTTTATATATATATATATATATATATAAAAAAAGGATTTTAAAGGTTTTGTTTTATAATCCAATGCTGTAGAGTAACAGGAATTTGAAGAAAAAAAATGCTTCACGTCAATAATAAAAGTGCCCATTTTGGTACAACTATTTAAAGTTTTGCAATATTTAATCAGTACACTGACAATATTTCAATCGACACATAGCACTCATGTTATTTAAAAAGAATGTTACTCAAACTAATAACTTATATTTTATTTAAAAAAAAAATTTTTTTCGATGTTTTATTTTGTAATCCAGCGCTGAAGAGTGACAAAGATTGAAAAAATAAGTGTTAAACTTAAATCATAAGATTGTCCATTTGAGAAAAACTATCCGAAATTTTGCACTATTTTAACACTACACTGACAATATTTCAATCGAAAATTAGTACTCGGATCATTTATAAAGAACGTTAGTGAAACTAACAACTTATATTTTATTAAAAAATTGTTATCAAGGTTTTATTTTAAAATCCAATGCTGTAGAGCAGTCTTTCTCAAAGTGGGCAATAACGCCCCCTTGGGGGCGTTTGAAACCTAGAGGGGGGCGTTAAGTGGCCCTGAAAAAATGGGGGGCGTTGATGTGGGTTAGGGGGGCGATGTATAATTTTTAATTTCATTTACTTTATATAGTATTTTAAATTTCACTAAAATTAAAACCCACCTACTACACATTAACGAATAATTAGTTTATATTTCTACCCTGTATGATGTTATAAAAACTTAAAATACTTAACATAGATTTCGTAGGATAGCCCGCACACCGTACGCAATCAAGTTGTAACAAGTTTCTTAGGATAGATAAAGGAACATGATCGATGATAGTTAAAAAATTAGAGCAATTTTACCCTAATTACATTGCACCAGAAATTATTTTAAACATTAGGAAAAAAACTACCATGCAGAGTTTTAAAATATTATACATACGTAAACTAACATAAATTGAAGTTTTCTTTACTTTCTTTCTTGCTTTTAACATAAGGGCATTTTACAGCATTTTCCTAGCATTTTATAAGAAATTACTGATGTAAGAATCATCATTTTTATATAAAATGGAAATACGTATATAATTATTGTTCAAAAA